TCCTTCCTTCTTTCCTCCTTCTGTGGCCCAACTCTAGTAAGAAGGGGTTTAAACTTTAAACCCCTTCTCTTTTCGCTTCTCCCCCACCAGGGAAGGGAAGGGGAGGCTTTTGAAGATGCCTCCCCCCCTGCTTCCCCTTCTGACATCACTTCCGGTGACGTCAAGGGGCGTTGCATATGCTAATGAGCTATTATGCTAATAGCCTAGTAGCTCATTCATACCATATGCTAATGAGCTCCTGCAGCTCTTTTTCTACAAAAAGACCCCTGCATATCTCTCTGTCGTTCAGAACTGAGCCATACGGCCTTCAGAGCCACTTAAATATATATTCAGAAAGAGTCTCCTCATCCCAAAGCAGGCCAGAGAGGTAGGCCCGTTAGTGTTCGTTCTGTTGGAAAACTGAGCTCTTTTGGACTCTAGCATGTACTATGTGTCTTAAAGGAAAGCAGGCAGGCAGTATTTAATTTTTAAAATAAGCAATTGTCGATGTTCGTGTCTGTCTAGATCTCACAGCTTTTTTGCTCTGGAAGCCCTGAGTTTCTTTTCATCCCCAAGACATGGGAGTTTCCTTAATGCTAAAGGAGAGACACTTTGCACATATTCAGAGGCACACTCGTTTACCAGAGTTATGAACATATATGAAGCTGCCTTACCCTAAATCAGACCATTGGTCCATCACAATTAGTATTATCTATTCAGACTGATAGCAGCTCTCCAGGGTCTCAGGCAGAGGTCTTTTATGTCACCTACTGCCTGATCCTTTCAACTGGAGATGCCAGGGATTGAACCTGGGACCTTCTACATGCCAAGTAGAAGTTCTGCCACTGACCCACAGCTCCTCCCCAAAGTTATTCAAAGCCTGAGCTCTGAAGACAGGTGTCAGGACTTAGACCTTGGGAGTTCTGACACAGATGAAGTCCCGGTGTAAAAGAAACTCCCCACATCTAACCCAGTGTTGGAAAGGAATGCTTTTTTGTATAGTTCTACTGGAAAGGTGATAGAAAAGGGCAACTAGTTATTCTAGGATGTGGTGATGGGGCTTCATGCCATCTGTAGAAGGGGAGCTTTGGGGACCCTGGAGCAGAACCTTCAGGAAGATCAAACTCTCAGTCTGTCCATAAAAGCGTGTTCTTCTTTACCTTATAGACTACAGGCATCTCAGGGGACCAACAGTACCATGTGCCTGGGCCAGTCCAAGCATTACCAGTTGTGCCAGCAACAGGTAAGATGTGGTCTCAGACCTTGAAGAATTATGTGGTTTTTCTGGGTTGCTTCAAGCAGGAAGTCAAATAGAGTTCAAGCAGTGGCTGGTTATACTAAGAGGGACCTGAAATGCCTGCCCCCAGCTACCACTCCTTCCCTTCCGGTGCCAGCTCCACCCATTTTCTTTTCTTCCATCCTGCTGCCTCATGTCACTGCTCCATTTTTTACTCTGCTTCCCTCCCCCAGAAGCCATTTTGAATTGCTAGAGCAACCCAAAATGCTACCTCTGTCTCCCCCCCCCCAATCTCTTGTACTAGACATCACTTTGGGGGGGGGGGAATTAATTCCCAGATTTTATTTTAAACTATGTATTTTCTATCTGGTCTCTGTCTGTAGAACATAGCAATGGCAGGCCCCAGTGTGCAGATTTTTTGATCCACGTGGGGACCAGCTCCCAGCTATCAACTGTAAGGGTAAAGCAGCATTTGTATATTTGGACCTTGACAATCTCTAGTGGGAGCTGCCGGGAAGCAACACAGAGATGCTACTTGCACCTATGCTTCTTTACGCCAGTGTAACAGGAAGGCAAGGCAATAGCAGGAGTGGCTTCCTCTAGACAACAATAAATATCCTTAGAATATCTTTTACCAGAGACATCATTTTCCATATTTCCCTTATTCAGTGCAAGGAAATATGAGCCAGATTATTATTTCTCAAAACTTTTTGAACTTAAGAGAGCCAGTTTGGTGCAGTGGTTAAGAGCGTGGACTCTAATCTGGGAGAACTGGGTTTGATCCCCCACTCCTCCACATGCAGCTGCTGGGTGACCTTGGGCAAGCCACAGTTCTCTCAGAGCTGTTCTCTCAGAGCTCTCTCAGCCCTACCTACCTCACAGAGTGTCTGTTGTGGGGAGAGGAAGGAAGAAGACTGTAAACCGCTCTGAGACTCTGAGTGAAGGGCGGGGTATAAATCCAATCTCCTCCTCCTCCTTTATTTCCTTTTTTAAGTCTCCAAGGCACCATGTGTTTTCCCCACCCCTCTTAATTCTCATGACATTGTGATGTAGGTTAGGCAGAGAGAGAGAGAAGGAGGAGGAGGAGGAGGAAGAAGAAAGAAAGAAAATCAGAGGACAAGTATCTTTGTTTTCTTTTCAGCTTTGCCCTGCCAACACAGCCAGTTTCAAGCAGCATCAGTGTGCCAGTTTCAACGCCAAGGCCTTTGGGAAATACTACTACCACTGGATGCCACTTTACCCTGGTTTGTCTTTGCTGAATGATTCGGAAGAAGCTGTGGATCAAGGCATAAGGCAGTGCTTGCAAAACCTGGTGGAGATTAACGCCAACTAAGAGTAGCCAAGCCACTCTGTTGTAGCTTAGCCTAAACCATTATTCTGGTCCCTTAAACAGATTCATTGTTGCATATACTCAAGTCCACTTCATGAGATGCATGAAACGTTCTTCTCAGTTGGCAAATGGGTATACACATATGTAAATAAAACCGTGAGCTCCAAAAAATAAACCCTGCATTGTTCCTCCTAAATAGCCAAAGAAATTCTACAGTCTGGTTGTATTCAGAGATCACAATTTAAGTATGATTGAGGCGAAATGGGCACAATCCTGGTTTGTTGCCAGACTTGCATGCATGCCTTTTTGGGGTATACGCTTTGACTCTTGGGGTATATGTCTTTTGGGGGTATACAATTTGACTCCTGTGGTATATGCCTTTTGGGGGTATATACTTTGGTTCTTGTGGTATATGCCTTTTGATGGTATATGCTTTGACTCTTGGAGAATATGCCTTTTGGTGGTATAGGCTTTGACTCTTGGGGTATATGCCTTTTAGGGGTATACACTTTGACTCTTGAGGCATATGCCTTTTGGGGGTATATGCTTTGACTCTTGGGGTATATGCCTTTTGGGGATACACACTTTGACCCTTCAGAGCTTTAATTCTTGAAAGTTTATACCCTGAAAATCCTGTTGGCCTCTGAGGTGCTTAGCTAGTCATACATAACTAGACAAATTAGAGGGGTTTTTTCATATCTAACTAGACAAATTAGAGTATTTTTTTTTCTTCCCCACAAACCAGGAAGTCTTTGGTTGCCCAGGGCCAGGGGCTGCTTCTCTACCACGGTGTTCCTTTTCCCTTCAGTCTCATCAGTAACAATCACATACCAGTGAGGTAGCAGCAGTACCTTTTTAATTGCATCACTGACAACAGCCAGCTCATGAACTTCAGCCCCAATACATTACAAGAAGACCCACTTGCCAGTCGTCACTTACCTGGAGTCCGTCTGATCTCTAGTCTGCCTCCTAGGCATGGATCTCTACCCACAATCCTTCAGCCACTGCGTCTGCCTAGTACATCTTTTCCGCACCCTGACCTGGATGGCCCAGGCTAGCCCGATCTTGTCAGATCTTGGAAGCTAAGCAGTGTTGGCAGTCCCCAAATTGGCTAAGCCGGGTTGGCCTTGGCTAGTATTTGGATAGGCGACCTCCAAGGAATACCAGAGTTGTGACGCAGAGGCAGGCAATGGCAAACCGCCTCTGAAATGTCTCTTGCCTCAAAAACAAGTCTAGCTCGCCACCTAGTGGTGCATAACGCTAAAAGAGTTAGAACATCTGGCTGCCAGACAGTCTTAGGATCTCCTGACTATGCTACACTCAATGTTGTATGATAATTGTTATTAATCATTAGTCAACAATATACCTCAAGTGGTATATTCCTTATTGAATTACTAAGCCATTTTATACCTGTTAGCATTGGTTTGCATACGATTCCAGCAGAATCCACTGGAGTCCATTGATTCTCTAGAGAAGAGGCAATCAGGTCTCATATCCCTCTTCCTCTAACTGTCCCACATCTTCCCTATCTCAGTTTCTCCTGTGTTCTGCCATAGACGATTACACCAGCATCTCCAACAAACCATGCGACCTCCAATGCACCACCAGGGGTGGAGAGAGACAGCTCATGGCACGGGCCCAGGATGGCACTTCATGCAAAGACAGGACTTTCCAAGGGGTCTGCATTACTGGGAAGTGTGAGGTAATGCGAAGGAACCAAGGGCTGCTTATGTGGGATTTTGTCTTTGGTGTCCAGTGGTGCTAGGGTGTCATTAATGCTAGGGCAAGGAAACTTGACAAAATTTAATGAGTTTGGTGTAGTGGTTAGAAGCGCGGACTCTAATCTGGAAGAACTGGGTTTGATTCCCCACTCCTCCACATGCAGCTGCTGGTATGACCTTGGGTCAGTCACAAATCCTCTCAGAGCTGTTCTCTCAAGGGCAGTCCTTGAGAGAGCTCTCTCAGGCCCACCTACCTCACAGGGAGTCTGTTGTGGGGAGGGGAAGGGAAAGGAGACTGTAAGCCGCTCTGAGACTCCTTCGTGTAGTGAAGGGCGGGGTATACATCCAATCTCCTCTTCTTAATTATACCTCCACCTTTCTCTCCAGTAGGGACCGAAAGCAGCTTTCATCATTCTCCTGTCTCCCATTTTATCCTCAAAACAGCCACCCTATGAGGTAGTGTATGTTAAGAGTGTGTGTGACTTGTTCAAGGCCACCTGACAAGCTTCCATGGCAGAGTGGAGATCTGAACCCAGGTCTACCAGATCCTAGTCACTCTCTATCCACTATGCAGAAAGCAGCTTAAATCATTCTCCTGTCTCCCATTTTATCCTCAAAACAGCCACCCTATGAGGTAGTGTATGTTAAGAGTGTGTGTGACTTGTTCAAGGCCACCTGACAAGCTTCCATGGCAGAGTGGAGATCTGAACCCAGGTCTACCAGATCCTAGTCACTCTCTATCCACTATGCAACACTGGCTCTCCAGAACCCCTGGCCAGGGTTGTAGCATAGTTAAGAAAATCAGGCTAGCCTTGCTGGCTTAGACCAAAGGATTTGTCAAATCCAGCATCCCAGCATGGTGTAGTGGTTAAGAGTGGTGGACTGTAACCTGGAGAACCAGCCTTGATTTCCCCCTCCTCCACAGGAAGCCTGCTGGTTGACCTTGGGCCAGACACAGTTCTCTCTCTCTGAACTCTCTCAGCCCCACCTACCTCACAAGGTGCCTGTTGTGGGGAGAGGAAGGGAAGGTGATTGGAAGCCACCTTGTGACTCCTTAAGGTCGAGAAAAGCAGAGTATAACAACCAAGTCTTCTTCCGTCAGTGGCCAGCTAGAGTTTTCCAGGAAGCCCAAAAGCAGGACACAAAGACAGGAGTTCTCCCTTACTATTTAATCTTTTGCCAGCAACTAGTATTTAGAGGTATACTTCCCCTGTACATGGAAGTTCCATTTAGCAATCATGACTTCTTGTCACTGGTGGACATGTTTTCCCCCGTGAATTTACCCGATCCTTTTCAAAACCTCCTAAACTAGCAGCCATCCATTCACCTTAAGAACAGCAAATCTCTTAAATATTAGGTTATGTTTTTCTACTGCCTACCGTTGTTGTTAAGGTACCCAGAATTCCACTGTAGTGAAAGGCAGAGAAACATTTCTCTCTGTCCACTTTCTCCACCGTATATATAATTTCATAACTTTCCTGGCATGTCCCTCATCTAGGGTTGCCAACCTCCAGGTGGGACCTGGAGATCTTCTGCTTTTACAATTGATCTCCAGAGATCAGTTCCCCTGGAGAAAATGGCTGCTTTGGAGGGTGGAGTCTATGGTATTACACCCTGCTGAAGTCCCTCCCCAAACCCCACCCTCCCTAGGCTCCACCCACAATATCTCCAAGTATTTCCCAGCCCAGAGCTGGCGACCCTCCTCTCCTCCCACCTGCATGTGGCTCTTTCACACATGGTGTGTGGCTCCCGGCAGGGTGGCTGGGGAAGCTAAATAGCATTAGCAAACAAACACCATTGGACAAATAAATATCAGTATCTGCTTTTACTGCCTTTGTTATTATTTTTGGCAGTCTCGTTTAACGTTCATAAAAAAGGAAATCTGCGTATTTACCAGTAAAAATGTGTAATATTTGTTCATGTCTTACGGTTCTCAAACATCTGACGTTTATTCTATGTGGCTCTTACATCAAGCAAGTTTGGCCACCCCTGATAGAGACTAGGATGCCTGGTACAGCCCTCAGTGTTGACTGTGGGCAGGAGGGTAAAGGAGGGTTAAAAGGGAAGAGGGAAAATAGGGGCAGTTATATTTGGGCTTAGTTTTAATTGAGAAGGAGGACCGGAGACATTAAGGGCCAAAAACTTCATGAAAGAGATGGATTTTGAATGGGAGTTTGAGCAGCCTTTGTTGATTTGAGTTCACAGGGAAACTCTGAACTTTACTCTCGTGCTTGCCTCCTTTCCTTCCCTAGCCAATAGGATGCGATGGCAGCCTCTATTCTTCCCAGACGATGGATCGGTGCCGGGTGTGTGGAGGAGACGGGAGCACTTGCTACCGAGTCTCAGGCAGTTTCCGGAAAGGGATCTCACAGTTAGGTACACTCTGCTAACAGCATTGAGCTATTTCCTCCTCTGTGTCTTGGTGTGACCCTGCTGGTTTCACGTTCTGACCAGTCACATTGCAAACAAGCCCCCTGGGGCTGCAGAAAGGCCTGTCTCCAAAACCTCCTCTCTCTCTTCTAAACCCTGGGAAAGAAACAGAAGCCAAGGCCAAACCTAAGCTTGCTGCCTGACTTGAGGTTTTAAGGATGACGGGCTTCTGAGCACTGTCAGGCCCACCTGCTGTGTTTGTGCAGGGAAATCACGGGACTGAACTAATGATTTTGTTACTCTGAAGGCAGAACTACTCCTGAAGGCATGCAATAGTCATTTCTTGTAAGGGAAATGTGTACTACAGAAGAGTGGCAGGCAAGGAAAGGGTTAAGCCTGTGCATAAGCTCCAAATCACAAGGGGTGGTGCATCCCTGTGTTTATGTGCATGCGCGCACTTAATCTTTTCCTTGTCTGCCACTTTTCCATAGCATATAGATGTGCTCACACTCGTGGTTTGACTCTGTTTTACGTTTACAAACACACCGATCTAGAACTCCTGTAAAGAAACTGAAGCCAGGAAACCGCTTCACAGATACATGCCCCCATCTGATTTGGGTTTTCTGATCAATATTTTTTTAATTCCCCTTTCTCAGGGTATGTATTTATCACTAACATCCCAGCTGGTGCTACAGACATTCTTATAATCGAGCGAAGGAAAACTGAAAACATCTTGGGTAAGCAGTGGAAAAGAATACTCCCTTGGGGCAAATTTGTCCCGGCAGTGGAAAGGAGGAAGCATCATGGTGTTAGTGATAGGGTGAGCATCCTAAGGAGCATTCACAAGACCACACTCTGATTTCTGGACCACTCCACTCAGAGAGGATATCACCCGTTTGACTTCAGGGGCATTAGAGACGCTTAAGGTATTGCAGTTATGGAATCCAAGAACCAGGAGCTCTTAAGCACCACAGATTAACTGCTTTTGAAGGTGCTTTTTAGCCAGAGGGACTTTTTAAGGGAACGTTTTTACTCTATCCATTTCTCAGTTCAAACACATTCTCTAGTAAGAAAGTGGCAGGGGAGGAAAGGATTAAGGTATCTCTCCCTGTGCTTTGGTAAAGCAACTCTGGCGGCTAAATTTGGCGAAGGGGGGGGAAAGCAGTTTAAAGTAAAAGTGGAAGAAACTGTAATGTGGGGGAAGTGTGTGTGTGAGTGTGTAGAGTACAGGGGGCTTTTTGTAGAAAAAGCCCAGCAGGAACTCATTAGCATAATAGGCCACACCCAACAGCAGGAACTCATTAGCATATTAGGCCACACCCCTGACAGCACAGCTCATTAGGCCGCACCCCCATGTTACCAAAAGTGTGGTCATCCAGCCACACCCACCTTTTGCTTCTTATTCTGTTTACCTTGCTTGTTGTCAAAACCCAGGGCTTTTTTTGTAGCAGGAACTCCTTTGCATGTTAGGCCACACACCCCTAATGTAGCCAATTCCAATGAGTTTCTGCTGTTGGGTGTGGCCTATTATGCTAATGAGTTCCTGCTGGGCATGGCCAACTCAGGAGCCAGCCGGAACTCCGTTCCTGCCCAAAAAAAGCCCTGGTAGAGTATATTTGTGAAGCACAGTCAATCTGTACTAGGGATATAACCCACATATATGCTCTCTGGAGCAATGGCGGATTTGTATGTGCAAAATGCCATCCAGTTAACATCTGACTATGGCATTTTCAAGACAAGAGTGCCAGAGCTGGTTTGTCATTGCCTTCCTATGCATAGTGACCCTGGTATGCTTTGGTTGTCTCATCCAAATACTAACTGGGGCCAACCCTGCTTAGCTTCTGAGGTCTGACGAGATTGGGCTAGCCTGGGCCACCTAGGTCAGGGCAATGGCGGATAAACAGAGTCGCAAGCTGTGCAGCACTTTAACAATAACAGCTGGGTGACCTAGGGTCAGTCACAGTTCTCTCAGAGCTCTCTCAGCCCCGCCTACCTCACAGGGTGTCTGTTGTGGGGAGAAGACAGGAAGGAGTGTCATGGGCTGGGGTGCCAGTCAAAGGAAATCCAGAACAGACCAAGGTCAGGTGCCAAGAAGACAGTGCAAAGTCCAAAGCCAAGCCAAGGTCAGGAGCCAGAAACACAGAGCTAAGTCCAAAATCACTAACCAGAAACATAGTCCAAAGCCAAGCCAGGGTCAGGAGCCAGGAACACAGAGCCAAGTCCAAAGGTCTAGGTGCAAGAGCCGAGCCAAAGTGGATGCAAGCAGTACGAAGCTGACTCGTTGCTTACTGCCCAGAGTGTGGAGTTAAATGCTGTTACCAATTAGCCAGCTGCACGATCGGCCAGGCTCCTGTTAGAACTCTGGGCTAGCTGAGCATCTCCCCTGTAGCCTGGCCTCTCTTCGCCTGGTTGCTAAGTTTTGCCACAGTCGCTCCCTTAAACAAGTCACATGTGGGGGTGAGTCAGGAGGACTTTCAGCTTGCAGTTCTTCCTGCTTATCTGAGCCAGGTGTGAAGATTGCTGTTACAGGCACTTGCTAGCTATCCTCCTCTGCTGCTTCAGAGGGGCCAGCTGTGGTTTCTGTAGGTTCTGTCAGATCATCTTCATCCATGCCCATGACAAGGAGATTGCAAGCCGCTCTGAGACTCAGAGTGAAGGGCAGGGCATAAACCCAATTCTTCTTCTTCTTCCTTTCTAGCACTAGCTGATGAATCGGGGCACTTCTTCTTCAATGGGAACTCTGTCATCGATAACCCACAGAACTTCAGGGTGGCTGGCACAGTGTTCAAATACCGTCGGCCTTCCAATCTCCACTCTGACAGCCTGGAGTATATTATTGCCCAGGGTCCCACCAATCAGTCTCTGAATGCCATGGTAGGTAAGAGAGTCTGTATGATCTGATCGCTTTGTTACCTGTCCCCATTTTGTGGGCCCCAAAACTGCCTACAAAGAGTCAAGAGGATCCTGAGTGTCCGGTCCTTAACCTAGGTTGAGGTAAAGTTCCCAGGTTGGCTTCCGGTGAACTGAAGTTGCTCAAATCCCAGGCTTAGTTGGTTGCTTGACCGGTCTGTGAGCTTCCAGCGCAGGCTGCTGAGAAGGGCTGAGTAGGCCAGCAGGTCTAACAAGGACCACAGCAGTCCAGAAGGTCAATGCTTTGTGTCTCCAAAGTCATTCTTGGATTGTGCCATCCATAATGGGGATTTATAGGCGAGCTTTAAAAGGGGATTAGATAGATTCATGGAGGATAAGTCTTTCAGTAGCTATTAGCCTTGGTGACTGAGGGGAGCCTCCACACTTAGAGGCACTAAGCCTCTGAATCCCAGTGCCAGGAGACAACATTAGGGAAAGGCCTCGGCCTCCATGCCCTGTTGTTGGCCATCCAGAGAAACTGGTTGGCCACTATGTGAGACAGGATGCTGGACTAGATGGACCATTGGTCTGATCCATCAGGGCTCTTCTTATGGATGTATAAGCAAACAGTTTTGGATGGGGACAGAGTGGCACCTTCAGAGAAGTCTTATTGGAGGAATCTTTTTTGTGGTTGGGGTAAAGCTGGATCCCAACACAATGGTGTCTGATGTAGAAGTATTAGTTCTAGTGCATTAAAGAGATGTTGCTTTTCTTTCCTTGTTGAACCCAGTACTATAACTTTAATGGGAAAATGCCCTATGTGACATATGACTACACAGTGCCACGGACACGATCACCAGCTCTTCAGACTGTCCCTCCGGCCATCAAAATGCCTCTTTACCTTCGTCTGCCAGAGCCCAGCCACAACCACCAAGACGCAATCCCATCCATTTCCCAAGATTTCAACGCCACTTGGATCTCACTTGCACCAGATGATCTTGGGGAGCGTTTCCCACAAGGGGAAGGACATGGCGGTATGGCCTTCGGCAGCCAGAACTTCTTTCCAAGCAACTCCACGACATCAGGCAGAGACTGGGGCTGGAAACATGGGGAAGAGGGGGAAAGTTTTAGCTTCCAAGTCCAACGACTCTACCACACTAATGGAGCTGATGAGGCTGAAGAAGTGGGAATAGGCAGAGAAACAGATTTGGGTTCGTATGTTTTCTTGCTGGTTTGTTTTCCTAAGCATGGGCAACATTGGATGCCTTCCAGTCTAACATGAAGCTGCACTTGCTGCAGCAGTACGTCTAGAAAATTCAAAACCTATACTGAGATTATGTAGCCATCCTTCTTTATGCACCCTTTCTGTGTGTGTGTGGGGGGGTCATTGGGAAATCGGAATTTTCTTTGTCCGTGAGTAGGGCAGTAACAAGGGACCAGGTGTAGGTAGATGAAGAGCAGCAGAACTTTTGCATATAAATGGAGACCATGAAAGAGAAGCAAGCAGCAATACTATCTGAAATATTAATATACTAGAAATAAGGCCCGTTGTGGAAATAAATACAACGAGATCTAGAAAGAGGCTCTGGGAGAGTGCTCTGGCTTTGGGCAAACAGTGTCAGTCTGCTTTTAAAACATGAATCTGGGACCTGCACACCACCAGAATACAGCAGGTTCCATATGCAACTGACATTCCAACTGCCTTGCGGGGGGGGGGAGTTTGAGGTGTGGAATGGAGTGAAGTCCAGTCAGCTTCCATATGCAAAAGACCAGGTTGTCGCAGCAGTTGTGGTGTGGGCGGGACCCGGGCTTTGCCTTCTGATTGGTGGCGATATATGCTGAGGAGCAGGGCCATCAGCCATACACTAAGGGAGTGCATTTTAGAATTAGAACTTTGGCACCCACTATTCAATTATATATAAGGAGAGATACTTTTGGATGTAAACATTTTGAAAATTCAAAAGTTGAGATCCAGTTAATTGGAGTCCTTGCCATAAAATGTAAGCACTGATGACACCCACATTGATACTACCTCCTGCCTCATCAGTTTGAGCAAAGATTTGGGGAGGGGGGGGTTGCTCATTAAGGGTGTTAACTATCTTAGCAAAATGTGGGACTCTCCACCCACTGGTGCCGAAAGAAAGTTTTGTTAGTCGTGCCACACGGCTCCTGTTCATTGTTTGCATGCACATCTGTTCACCAAAATCTGAAATTAACCCTAAGTTGTCAGCATTTCCCCCATAAATGATGAAATGTTATTTGAAATACAAATATTAAAAAAATTACATATGCTCAGCTTCACAATTTAAGAAACCGAATTGTATTTTGCATTCTTAATGGGCTGTTTTGTGAATTCTGAAATGGTTTCTCTGGACCTTGCTTGTGCATTTTCAGATTTATCTCCACAGTAATTTTAAAAACAGTGTTCCAATTTAGTATGTTTGATATTAGATTACACAGAAGCAGTGAACCTGTGAGGACTTACAGGGGGGCATCTCATTTCTCCTGTATTCCTCTACCTGCACTACTTTCTCCCCCCCCCCCCCCCCCCGGTAGCCCTTACAGTTAGGGTTGCCAGTTCTTACCTGGCTGCCAGCAGGAGTGCTTCTGGCGTGCACGCTGCAATTACATCACCCGGAAATGACATCACTGCACTGGACACGTCGTGCAGTGGACACTTTAGCATTTGGGCCAAAAAAACCCTATGGTCACCATAGAGTTTTAACCCAAATGCTAGAGCGTCCCCTGCGCGACATGCCCAGTGTGATGACGTCACCTCTGGGTGACGTCATCACACCTGTCTCATCAGGTGCAACATGGATCTTTGGGTGCAGGGCTCTCTCCGCTGGCCAGCTGGTCATCAGCAGACTGGGGGCCCCAAAAGTGGGGGAATCCCCTGCCCCTATTGGGGGGATGGCAACTCAACTTACAGCTTCTCCCCTTCCCTGCTTCCTAATATACTTCCATTACACAAACACACCAACTGCTCCCCCAATCTTTAGCTTTCCTTCCTTCTCTCCTCTTTGGATGCTGCTCCCATTTTTAGTCTCTCCCACCCAGCAAACTACGTTTTAATGTTCTCCTCCATTTCAGCGTCTCCTTCTTATCTCCTTAGAAAGTTTTGCAATCCTGTTGCGGTTTACTAGCAACCCCTCAAATGTCCATTGAGATCTCGGAACATAGTCTTGCAAGACCACAGTGGATATTCATTTGCTAAAGCTACAGATGTTGCTTCTGTGTTTTTCTTAAACTTCCCAATGTATGATTTCAGATTTTTCTGCAAAGCAAGGACTTCCTTCAGCTTTGTAGGGAAAAACCTCCCTTGTCTGTCCCTGGCCCCATTGCATAGATTTTTTGATTCACACTCTAAGGTCTGGTACAGAATTAGCTGTAATGATGATAGAATTGCCAATACATTCCGTCCTGTAAGAACAGCTTTGCAAATATGTGTTGTTAAATTATTATTAATTTGGAGGAAAAGGCTTTTAGTTGGAAAGGTGATCAACTGATGGAACAGTTAGTGATGGAACAGTTTCCAGAACACCTCTGGCTCACTGTCATTTGTTTCCTTTTAGCCCTCAGACTCAACCAGATCACAATCAGTACAGCCGTCCCTCACGGAGCAGCCAGGCCTGATCTCCTAGAGACTGGCAGGATCGGGCCCTCCAGGCTGCGACTCTTCAAGAAACTGTGTCTTCGAGACCCACGAAATGCTGCTTTTTGTAGGGAATTGCAATACCTATTGGTCAAGCTGGGAAGGAAGAATTCAACAGTGGGGTTTTGGAATGACCCTTTAGTGGAATGGCCAGAAGGGCTGCGCAAACGGCCAGCAAATGAGAACTTTCTAGAGAGCACGAATGCAGAGGTGTATGCACTGGATGAGGCAACAAATGACACTGTGGTGGTGACATCTTCCAAACCTAGTTCCAAGTCCAGCCTTCATACCAGCCTTGGAAACGAACAACTGTCAGAACCTCTGCAGTCCCCTGGTCCTGAAAGGTAAGGTAGGAACACATCCTGTAGGGAATAATGTCAAGCTGACCTCCTAGGGGGCAGGATAGATTTAGCAGTAGGTCACCGTGGAAGACCGGCTTCCTCTCAGCTTCATAGTTTGGATGACAGACAGACATACCAGCAAATTGAATTCAGGAATTCCCCTCTTCCATGTTTCAGGCAGATTGTTTACCTTTTCATTTTTTTAAAAAAAGTACTATTCATACATTTATCCCTCAGAGTCTAGAACTTCTCCAGGGACTGATTTATTTCTTGTGGGAACCTATTGTATTTCAGCCTGCTGAATGAGGATTAGTAGTCTAAAGCGGCTGTTCCCAACCTTTTTGGTATGTTGACCCACGAGTCCAGATTTACTTGATATGGTGACCCATCCAAGGCTGGCCCGAGGTTTTTTGGTGCCCCAGGCAAACTATGACCTTGGCACCCATCTGTGGCAGCTTTCCATTTTCTACAGTGGCCGACCAGATGTTGTTGAGAAACCAACAAGCATCCCACAAAGGGTGCAGCTGCCCTCACTATGAACCCCAAGCGAGTGGCATTACGACATACACAGTTTTTACATCTGGAGGTTACCTTCCAGCCTTTTGACCACCCTCTCGGTCATCATTATATCCCCCCCCCCCCCCCGAGATTCTAAGAAACTCACTCTAGTTACCTTTGGGACACATTTTACTTGATCAGCAAGTATATGCAGTGAAGGGAAAATAGCAACTAATATATGACATGGAAGGTACTTTAGTTGCTGTAGATTTTCTGGGATGTGTGACTGTGGTCTTGGCATTGTAGAACCTGACGTTTCGCCAGGTTCTACAATGCCAAGACCACGGCCACACATCCCGGAAAATCTACAGCAACTAATGAACTCCTTCGACAACATATGGAAGGTACTGTTTCCAGAGTCAGATCTTGGTTTCCAAGATAGAAAAGAAAGGAATGGAAAGGGCAGGTCAGGGGGCAGCTGTTAGGGAAGGGTTGCCTGCAACCCACTCTCAGCGGCTTTATGACCCACTTCTGGGTTCCAGCCCATAGGTTGGGAAACCCCAGTCTAAAGCATCGCTTCGTTAAGAGATTCACTAAGCACCTGACTTTTTGTCACACTCTAGGTTGTTGGGGAAGGCTATAGTAACATCAGAGGACCCTTCCTGTCTCCTAAGCAGTGTTCCCTCTAAGCTGAGTTAGTGTGAGCTAGCTCACAGTTTTTTAGCCTCTGGCTCACCCTTTTTTGTCTCAGCTCAGGAAGGATGGCTCCAGAGCAAACTAATTTATGCAGTAGCCAAATTGCTCACTCAGAATTTTAATCCCAGTAGCTCACAAAGTAGAATTTTTGCTCACAAGACTCCATAGCTTAGAGGGAACATCGCTCCTGAGTAACCAGGAATGGCTAGCAAAACCTCTGTTGCTCACATCGGATTGTTCATCTGTGAGTTACTGTGTGCTCTTTATCTTCTGCAGCAATGACTTTGAGCTGAACCCCCTTGGCCACGAGGACATCAGCCTGGCTGACATGTATCGCTGGAAAGTGTCGGTCTATGCTCCTTGCAGCTCCACGTGCACCTCGGGTAATTTTACCTGGCATGGGATATTGGTGAGAAGGGGTAGCCTCAAAAACAGGGCACCGGCACGGCAGACTCTGGTGTACACCAGTGTATTTGCTGCCTGTATCTTTAAACCATTTGTGCCCTCTTCATACACAGTATCCTGAAACTGCACTTTATTCAGAGTCAGGCGACTGGTTCACTTAGCCCCGTGTTGCCTGCAATGACTGGCAGCAGCTTGTTAAGGGCTCGGGCAGTGGTCAGCTGTTGAACCGTTAACATTCTATATACAGGCAGTGTGACTGACAGTCCCATTACATTCTTGGGCACTGTTTGAGAGAGCCAGTTTGGTGTAGCGGTTAGGAGCACGGACTCCAATCTGGGAGGATTAGTTTTGATTCCCCGCTCCTCCACATGCAGCTGCTGGCGTGGCCTTGGGTCAGTTACAAGTTCTTTCAGAGCTGTTCTCTCAAGAGCAGTCCTCGAAAGAGCTCTCTCAGCCCCACCTACCTCACAGGCAACGTTCCCTCTAAGCTCTGGAGTGTTGTGAGCAAAAATTCTTCTTTGTGAGCGACTGGCATGAAAGTTATGAGCGAGGGATCTGGCTCCTGCATCAATTAGTTTGCTCTGGAGCCATCCTTCCTGAGCAAAGACAAAAAAGTGCGAGCCAGAGGCTAAAAAACTGTGAGCTAGCTCGCACTAACTCAGCTTAGAGGGAACACTGCTCACAGGGTGTCTGTTGTGGGGAGGGGAAGGGAAGGAGATTGTAAGCCACACTGAGACTCCTTCGGGCAGTGAAGGGCGGGGTATAAATCCAATCTCTTCCTCCTCCTCCTCCTCCTCCTTCTTTGCGTCCGTATGTGTACCCTTCAGCTGCCTAGGAACATTTCACCTGCTGCAGTGCGCCCATGGTTTATTATTACTGGCTTGTATCTTCCCACACCCTAGCCTGGATGGTCCTGCCTAGCCTCATCTTGGAAGCCAAGCAGGTTTGGCCCTGATTAATTCTTGAATGGGAGACATCTTTGGAACGGTTCTTGAATGGATAGACCAGGCCAGCCTGATCTCATCAGATCTCGGAAGCTAAGCAGGGTCGTCCTGGGCTAGTATTTGGAAGGGCGACCTCCAAGGAAGACCAGGGTCATGATGCAGAGGCAGGCAATGGCCAAGCACCTCTGAACCTTCTGTTGCCTCAGAAGCAAGTCTAGCTCACCACCTAGTGGTTCATAACGCTAAACAGTAAACAATCTTAGCCTCTCCTGGCTATACTGCACACACTGCCATACGATAATCAGGGCTCTTTTTGTAGCAGGAACTCCTTTGCATATTAGGCCACACCCCCTAATGTAGCCAATCCTCCAAGAGCTTACAGAGCTCTTCTTACAGGAGCTACTGTAAGCTCTTGGAGGATTGGCTACATTAGGGGTGTGTCACTTAATATACAAATGAGTACCTGCTACAAAAAGAGCCCTGAATTATTAGACCACCAAGGAAGTCCAGGGTTGTTAAACAGAGGCAGGCAACTCTGCCTTGAAAACCCTACTGGGTCATCATACGTTAGCTGCAACTTGATGGCACTTTCCACCACCCTCCTCCACTGCTCAGCCGAGTTGGATGCCTTTCTCTCACCCAAGGAGCTTTCCTCCAAGTGGTAAGATGCAAGCCATGATTATTTAAATGTATAGCAAACAGGACCTCACCTGGATAACCCAGACTAGCCTGTTCTCGTCAGATCTCAGAAGCTAAGCAGGTTCAGCCCTGGTTAGTACTTGGATGGGAGACCCCCGAGGATGTCCAGGGTTGCCGTGCAGAGGCTGCTAGTGGACATGGAACGCATTTCGACTGGGAGGAATTGCTTTTTGGTGTCTTCTTAGGGATCAGTACCTCCTATGCCCTGTGCATCCGCTATGATGGCATAGAAGTGGAAGAAGCTTACTGTGATGCACTGACTCGTCCGGAGCCCACTCATGAGTTCTGCGCAGGTCGAGACTGTCAGCCCAGGTAAGTGGAATTAGCCAGCTGCTAGATCATCATCCAAAAACAGTTTTGTGTTTGTTTTGTTTTAATGTTTTAATATCAGGCCTGCGGCTTGAGGCTGCTAAAGATAGTTGATGTGTTTATAACTTTTTTAATGTCCTTTTATTAATTTTTTGCTAATTAAGTATATTTTTATGCTATCCTTCCTTCAGGGAGTTTCAGGCTGAGTACCTGCTTCTCCTCTCCTCCATTCTATCCTCACAACAAGGGCTAGGAACATTTATGGAAACTAGAAAGGGTTGTGAGATTTTTTTTTTTTTAAGTCTGCATTGAATTTGAAAGGAGACAAAAGCAGTATTTAATTAATCGACCAATAGTTATCTCTCAGAGTCTTGGGTGGGAGATACATTTGAGCAGGGCTATTTTTGGGCAGGAACGCACAGGAACGGAGTTCCGGCTGGCTCCCGAGTTGGCCACGCCCAGCAGGAACTCATTAGCATAATAGGCCACACCCAACAGCAGAAACTCATTAGGATTGGCTACATTAGGGGTGTGTGGCCTAACATGCAAAGAAGTTCCTGCTACCAAAAAAGGCCCTGGGTTTTGACAACAAACAAGGTAAACAGAATAAGAAGCAAAAGGTTGGTGTGGCTGGACAACCACACTTCTGGTAACATGTGGGTGTGGCCTAATATGCTAATGAGTGGTGCTGTCAGGGTGTGGCCCAATATGCTAAAGAGTTTCTGCAATTGGGTGTGGCCTATTATGCTAATGAGTTCCTGCTGGGCTTTTTCTACAAAAAAAAGCCCTGCATTTGAGTGTGAATAGTATAAGGACCCTCATGTGGCTGAGGGAAAGCGCCCCCCCCCCGTTAAGATGCCATCTTGGATAATTCCCCTGCTCTGTCCTTCAGGTTACCTCACACTAAGCCATGTTTTGTCTTCCTTTATCTTGCCCCCCCCCCCGAAGGTGGGAGACCAGCCGGTGGAGTGAGTGTTCCAGGACCTGCGGTGAAGGCTATCAGTACCGAACAGTGCGCTGTTGGAAGATGCTGGCTCCAGGTTTTGATAGCTCTGTTTACGATGACCTTTGTGAGTCAGCTGGGCTGGCCAGGCCCATGGAAAGGAAATCGTGCGTGAACAAACCCTGTGGGCCACAGTGGGAGCTGTCTGAGTGGTCTGAGGTATGTGGTTCTTTGGCAGCGTTTGGCAAAAGAATGAGCCACGCCATGAGGGTGGGGAAATGGTGAGGTAAGTAGCAGCCATGGCGGGGTGGTGGTGGTGGAGGAGCTGAATTGTATCAGGACCAAGCTGTTTAACCCTCCCCTCACACTCATTTCCCCACAATAAATTCTGTCCTTCTATTGGCCCTGATGAGGAAATCTGTGGAGTGTCGTTTAGGGTTTTCAGATCCAGGTTGGGAAGCCCCTGGAGATCTGGGGGAGGGCAGGGACCTCAGTGGGGTATGGTGCCATAGAGTCCACCCTCCAGAGTGTCCATTTTCTCCAGGGGAACTGGTCTCTCTTTCCAGGGGGGTTGCTGTTTTGGCCCCTGTTGCCTTGATAGGTCTGTGGAGAGCCTTGTTGGGGGGAGAGAGAAAGATGCCAAGCCAGACAAGTGTGAAAAAGGAACCGGTACTGTACCAGATTGTATGGTCACAAAAATAGCCCTGCATGGCATAGAGTAACAAAAGTTACACTCCTTCTTCCCATGTTCTTCTAATGTTTCACCAACTGAGGCTTTTTCTGCCATCACCTCATTTTGAAAGCCATGAAACTTTCCGTGTTGAAAAGACGGCTGAGTTTTGAGACAAACTGCAGGTGTACATCTCTCTTCATATAAAACTTGGGCACAGCAGTTACCTATATGAAGAGCCTGCCTTCTCACGACTGACCCACCATGTTTTGACACTTGAGGCAAAAAAAAAACCCCAGCTCACTTCCCATAATAATCAAATCTTACTCAAACTCTTAAGCAGTGGCTTCTTTGTGCCCCATGACGGGGACGGCCCTGTAAGGAATGCAAGCAGGGTTATTTTTGGGCAGGAACGCACAGGAACGGAGTTCCGGCTGGCTTCCAAGTTGGCCACGCCCAGCAGGAACTCATTAGCATAATAGGCCACACACCCAACAGCAGAAACTCTAGGATTGGCTACATTAGGGGTGTGTGGCCTAACATGCAAAGGAGTTCCTGCTACAAAAAAGCCCTGGGTTTGGACAACAAACAAGGTAAACAGAATAAGAAGCAAAAGGTGGGTGTGGCTGGATGAGCACACTTCTGGTAACGTGGGGGAGTGGCCTAATATGCCAATGAGCTGTGCTGCCAGGGGTGTGGCCTAATATGCTAATGAGTTTCTGCTGTTGGGTGTGACCTATTATGCTAATGAGTTCCTGCTGGGCTTTTTCTACCAAAAAAAGCCCTGAATGTAAGTATGAACTGGCCCTAAGTTAACATGAAGCACTCTCATTAGTCACCTCAGGATGATGAGCTCTATTTCCTGAGCAGGATGAGGGGAAATGGTGATCCCATAATTTATTCATGACAGAAGTGCCTTGCCCATAATATAAAAATATTCTTCCCTCAGTTTTTCCATTTTTTTTGCTCCCTTTTCTCCATTGCGCCTTCTTTTCTGTTTCTGACTTCACAGTGTTCTGCTCGGTGTGGCAGCTCAGGGACCATGAAGAGGGAGGTGCGCTGCTCAATAGAGCCACATCTGTGCAATGAGTCACTGAGGCCTGTCAGTGAGAAGGACTGCTCAGGCCCTCCCTGTGACCGTCAGTGGACTGCTTCTGACTGGGGACCAGTGAGTCCAAATGCTTTGCTGTGTTACATTGTAGAGGAAAACTGAATTGGGGGGGGGGGCAGAGAGGGTTATAAGTTTGTCGTTTATGGAAACTCGTACCTTCTTCTAAAATCTGGTATATAAAAGTCAGTTCCCAAATTTTCTCTGAAACTTACGGTGGGTATGTTTCTTAGCTATCCTATGCTGCTTTTAATACTTTGCCTCCTTCTGCTCCTGATCCATGCTCTTTTCTTATAACATGTCAGGGAAATAAATCATGCCTCGAAACAGGGTCCAGGCATTTTTTAATGAATCAGGTCTTAGGTTCTCTTGAGCTGACTTACTTTCTGTGCGTGTGGCCCCAAATCGAGGCAAACAACACCCCCCCCCAACCATGACGACTGAGGAGGGACATGATTGAGGTTTATAAGATTATGCATGGGAAAGAGCAGGTAGAGAAAGAGGTACTTTTCTCCCTTTCTCACAATACAAGAACTCGTGGGCACTCCATGAAATTGCTGAGCGGTCGGGTTAGAACAGATAAAAGGAAGTACTTCTTCACCCAAAGAGTGATTAACACTTGGAATTCACTGCCACAGGAAGTGGTGGCGGCTACAAGCATGGACGGCTTCAAAAGGGAATTAGATAGGCATATGGAGCAGAGGTCCATCAGTGGCTATTAGCCACAAGGTATAGATAGGGACTCTGGGGCAAGTGATGCTCTGTCATCTTGGTACTTGGGGGGGTCAACAGTGGGAGGGCTTCTAATGTCCTGGCCCCACTGGTGGACCTCCTGATGGCACCTGGTATTTTTGGCCACTGTGTGATACAGAGTGTTGGACTGGATGGGCCTTTGGCCTGATCCAACATTGGCATCTCTTATGTTCTTATGAAGAGTCAGGAAAAGCATGCAGAATGAAGCTGAAGCCTTACCCCCACACACACACACACATACACACACGCTGTGATTCTCCCCTGTAGTATTTTAAAAACCAGTTTCCCACATCTGTTCTCTGACCATGGGGAAAGCAAGTCAGATTGGGAGAACCTGGACCTGACTTAATAGGACAATAAAAAGTAGCATCTAGCTCAGTCTTTACTCTGTGTGCTACTATGGCAGCTGCGGGCAGAAGTACCTGTTGATCTGATTTCTGGCGTCCTACAGCATCATCGCTGCAGATGGTTGGAGGGAGGTACTGCAGCTACTAGTTCAGCCGGGATCAGCTGATACAGGGAACCAGGGGTCATTTCGTAGAAAAAGAGGTGCAGGAGCTCATTAGCATAACTTATTAGCATAACTTGTTTGCATATGCCACACCCCCTGACATCACCCGAAATGTGTCAGAAGGCAACACCCACCGCTCAGGCTCCACTGGACTGTTTTGGATTGCTGGCTATTGGGGGTGTGTGTGCAGATCTGTCCTTGCAGAGGAGGGAGAGCTTGTACCTGAATAAAACGTGGCCTTAAAGGTGCCACTGGACTGTTGTGGATTGCTAGCTATGGGGGGGGGAGCGCATAGATCTGCCCTCACAGAGGAGGTAGAGCTTGTACCTGAAGGCGGAGGGGGGCCCTCTGCAACTTACCTGGCTGCTTCTTGCTCCTTGTGGCCCAACTGAGGGCTGCTGGGAGCAGGGGGCGGGGCTTGTTGCAAGTGCCCACCCCCTGGGCTCCTTACTGCCGGAGCTCCGCTCCTGTGTGCTCCCACAGAAAATGACCCCTGCAGGGAACCAACAGGATCTCTTGTGTACCTTCTGGTGCAGGCCGGGCTCTTTGGCTGCCTGCTGAGCTGCTCACTATCTGCCTGCTTCTAAACCACCAGCCCTGATGCTCCCGTGGTTTGTGGCCATGAACACAAAACAAGGAAGCTGTGTGAGCGAATGACTGTGGGATACAGCGGGAGGCCTGTTGGAGCGCTGTTAATGGTGAGCCTACCCGTGGGCTAGCAGAGGGAGAAACAGATACAGTGACGTTTCTTCCGTTAGTAGTGGAAATTCCTGTCAAGTCATACCTGACTTATGGTGACCCCCTCATGGGGCTGTCAAGGCAAGAGATGACCGAAGGTGGTCTGCCATTGCCTACCTCTGCATAGGAACCCTGGACTTCCTCGCTGCTCTTCCAAGTACTAACCAGGGCCAACCTTGATTAGCTTCGGATACCTGATGACATTGGGCTAGCCTGGGCTTCAACTCTTGAGTTACTGTGAAAGAGTGACCCATATATTTTAATACTTTTTGTGTTAGTGGGAAGTTATTGGGGGGGTGTAAAAAAGAGACATCAATATGAAGATCGAGGGCAGCAAAACCACATAACCTCTGCCCTATTGAATGGGATGAGAAATGTATTAATAAATTTAAAAATTACATACAGCAGAAAGGGTAGACATATAATGGCTTGGATCCTACCCTTTTCTTCCATTTCCACTGTGCTGTGTTGCAGTGGAGTGGGTTCCACCCGTGGTGGGTGTTTTCTGTACATGCAAGACACAGCATCTTGCAGTGAGAAGAAAGCATCTGGAACAGGAGGAGTACAGGAAACAGTACTGCAGAAATGGAAGAAAGGGGTAGGATCCTAGCCAACGAAAATGGGAGCCCCTGAGTGTCAAATAATCTTTATAAACAATAATTCCCAATTACTTGACGGCTTCCCTACCATTTCCTCTTGCATTGTGCCCATCCAAAGACAGTAGATCTTGGGGAGGAGGGAGAGTTGCTGGATAAACATGGGCTTGCAGGTTAAACACACACCCCCCAAAAAACCCCACATGAACAAATCTGCATTCCCCCCCCCCCGAATAATTCAGTTTTTCTAGGGTGAGTGGATAAACAGTACCTCACTTTGTCCATTCCAGTGCAATGCCACGTGTGGCCGAGGAGTCAAGACACGGACCGTGCTGTGCGCAGGGCTGGAGAATGGCATGTACAGGGAGTATCCAGAGAAGCGCTGCGATGCCTCCCCGAAGCCAGAAGTGCAGGCATCCTGTTTCAAGAGACCCTGTTCCACATGGTTTTCAACTTCTTGGTCCCAGGTAGGGCAAAGAGGCCATTGTCTGCAAGGGGTGGTGCTATAACTGGATATATTGGTGTCCAAGCAAGCAACGTACCTTGTGCTAAACTTGATATAACCAAAGCAAAACAATGGAAACCAACCCAGTCTCATGCACACGAGCATCCTGCATGATACAGATCATAACCATCCTACCGGATTTGTCTCATTCACCTTTATGCAGACATCCCACCCCCACCCCCATTCACCTCCCACACTAGCATTTCACCCTCTCAGTTCTACAATGCAGGCTCCATTAATGGGAAACCTCCCCCCCCCCAAAAAAGTCACAGTTTGTGCAAGAAGCAGCTATTCATACGGATGGGTGCTTTGTGTGCAGTTGCTGACCTGATCCAGCGGTCAGAGCTGCCCGCATGTCACTCATCAGTGGTAGTATTCCTGTGCTGCTCAGGAAAGGGCGTCTGAGACTCAGTCCAGTCCTCCCGTCTCATATCCCTAAACAACAATCATTGCTGTCCATCAGGACCTGACTAGGGCTACCTGCAGGAACCCCAGCTGCTTTGCTGTGCTTTGATTGAAGCTACACCCCGAATAGTCATGTACAATGCATCTTTCCACAGTGCAGCAAGACCTGTGGCACAGGCCTGCGGGTCCGAGAGGTGAAATGCTACCAAGGAGAAGCTCTAGGACACGGCTGCGATTCATCTTCCAAGCCTGAAGCCAAGCAGATTTGCCAGCTACAACTGTGCCCTACAGATGCTCCAGGTAAAGAAGAGGGATTTCCCATGGGACATTCTTGTGAACTTGAGGAAGGAAGTGTCGTTGCTAATTTTGATTGTCATGCATTTGGGGTCTTTGTGGTGGTCATGGTGGTGAATAGTGATTGGCTGAGCTGCCATTATGTCACAGAAGGGGGGGTGGGCAGAAGGCTGCCATCGGCTGAGTTGTTCAGGACAGAGCAAACAGAAGGGCCGAGGAAAGGAGGAGACGGGAGAAGCAAGGACATTGTAAAAGTGGAGGCAGTAAAAGGAGAAATGAGTGTAGTCAGGGCTTTTTTGGTAGAAAAAGCCCAGCAGGAGCTCATTAGCATAATAGGCCATACCCAGCAGCAGGAAGTCATTAGCATATTAGGCCACTCCCATGACAGCACAGCTCATTAGCATATTAGGCCACACCCCCGTGTTACCAGAAGTGTGGTCATCCAGCCACACCCACCTTTTGCTTCTTATTCTGTTTACCTTGTTTGTTGTCAAAACCCAGGGCTTTTTTTGGAGCAGGAACTCCTTTGCATGTTAGGCCACACACCCCTAATGTAGCCAATCCTAATGCGTTTCTGCTGTTGGGTGTGGCCTATTATGCTAATGAGTTCCTGCTGGGCGTGGCCAACTTGGGAGCCAGCCGGAACTCCGTTCCTGTGCGTTCCTGCCCAAAAATAGCCCTGGGTGTAGTTGGATGAAGGTATGGTCCTGAGGAATGAGGGAAAAAAGAGGACAGAAGAGAGAACATGTGAGGGGAAGGCTAACTGGGAGACAAAGGTGGGAACTGTGAAAGTAGGAGAGACTGTAGCAGGCCCGTAGCTACAGTGGGGGCATCTTGGGGCCAGCCCCCCTCGCGACTTACCACCCAGGCCTCCCGACCTCCCACCCAGCTGGCTTAATTGTGTGTGTGTGTGTGTGCGCGCCACAGCTGTGCTGCGCCCTGCCCTGCCTGCTGCACCCTTGCCTCTCACCTCTCTCTCTCTCTCATCACTTTATTTAACTTTTACTCTCTCATCGCTCCTGACACAGCTTGGGGGTGTGTGCGGGGGTGCCCCCCCCCAGCCTTATTTAAATTTCCCCCAAAGTCAAAAATCCCGGCCACTGCTCTGGACTGTAGTCCATTAACTGATTTAAAATCAGCAGCTAAATATTTGAAAGAAAATTGGCCCAAGTCTGCTGGTGTCCTTGTGAGATATCTTAGCACATGTTGGGCCAAGAGATCTTGCAAGATTTCAAGGATCAGAGAGGGAGCAGACATCCCTGCAGTAGTAATAGTAGTTCTTATTATTCTAAGTCCGTTTGTGTTTTTGAAGATTCATCATGTTTCAAATACATTCTTTTTTTTAACATAATGGTAACTCCGTAAGGTTCGTCAATAGTAACCCTATTTTGCAGGTATCGTGGGTGGAGGTTGAGAGGGTGTGGTCTACCTAAAGCCTCCTAGTAGTAGTAGAGAAATGTAACCTGGGGAGTTCTTGCTTTAGGGCTTAGTCTTAGCAGCACAATTTGGCATGTGACAAGAGCATCCACAGGTGATTTGTGAGCATCGTGAGAAAGTATATTTTTTAATAGGAAAAGAGCATGCAGGCAAGGGAAGCCAAACCCTGCCTGCCCCTTTTCTTTACCTTACCAGTAGCTGCTCAGAGCATTTTTCTTCTTGCCTGATGATCTTCAGTACTGTGGTCAGATTGGGAAAAACATGCTTCATAGAACAGCATGCAGCAAGGTCAGGGGAGGGAGGGGACAGGGTTTACCAGCCCTTGCCCACATGCTCAGTTTTCTGAACACACACACACATTTGTGAATAAATACACCTGGATCAAAGTTACCTTTAAGCACCGGCACACAAAATTTTAGCTGGCAGTGCAGGGGTTTTTGTTTCAGCCAACAAGTGAATTGAGAAGGCACTTTTTCCTTCCTTCAGAAACAATGGAGAAAGGGGGCACCTCTTCTGAGGCCCATAGAATTTGACCCCCGGTTCAATCTTTTTGAAACTTGGGGGGGGGGATTTTTGAGAAGAGGCACCAGCAGCTATGCTGCAAATTTGGGGCCTCTACCTCAAAACACAGGCCCCCCCCGAGCCCCAGATACCCCTGGATCAATTCTCCATTATAGCCAATGGGGCCCATTGACTATAATAGTCTCCATAGGCTATAACGGAGCTGGGGGGGGGGAATTGCACACCCCTGTTATGCTTTTCAGTATGATTTGTAAGCTGCCTTGAGTCACAGGGATAGGTGGGCTATAACTGTTTGAATAAATAAGTAGTTTGGGGAGGTTGATAACATTTAAGCAACTTCCTGTTTGTTAGGTTAGGTAGGGTTCTGACAGTGATTGTTCCACCTCTGTTATACCTGACCTGTAATTTGTCATATTTCACTAACAAAACTCAAAGTAGACTGCAGGAGTTCCCCCCACCCACTCAAGTGCTGGTATGTTTTCTAAGGCTCAGTACAGGGTGACAGTCCAAGACCAGGTCTACCAGTATAGTTGACTGGGGCCAGTAGACCTGTTCTCCGGTGACCAGGTCTGCCAATATAGTGGAAAGGTGTGGGTAGACCCATTCCCGGGAGGACAGGTATACCAATATAGTGGACTAGGACAGGTAGACCTGTTCTCCAGAGGCCAGGTCTACTGATATAGTGGAAAGGGGTGGGTAGATCTGTTCTCAGGAGGCCAGGTCTACCGATATAGTGGAAAGGTGAGGGTAGATCTGTTTTCCGGAGGCCAGGTCTACCGATATAGTGGAACAGGGAGGGTAGACCTGTTTTCCGGAGGCCAGGTCTACCGATATAGTGGAAAGGGGAGGGGAGACCTGTTCTCCGGAGGCCAGGTCTACCGATATAGTGGAAAGGGGAGGGTAGACCTGTTCTCCGGAGGCCAGGTCTACCGATATAGTGGAAAGGTGAGGGTAGATCTGTTTTCCGGAGGCCAGGTCTACCGATATAGTGGAACAGGGAGGGTAGACCTGTTTTCCGGAGGCCAGGTCTACTGATATAGTGGAAATGGGAGGGTAGACCTGTTCTCCGGAGGCCAGGTCTACTGATATAGTGGAAAGGGGAGGGTAGACCTGTTCTCCGGAGGCCAGGTCTACCAATATAGTGGAAAGGGGCAGGTAGGCCTGTTCTCCAGAGGCCTCATCTACCCCTGTAGAGGGCAACATTCTCTGTAAAATTTGACTTGGTTCTGTTTTCTCTCATAATGTTATTCTCATAAAATTATTCTTAATATATAGTTTAAATATAGTTTAAAAGAATTCATCCTAAAATCTTTACAAACTAATTTATGTGATAGTCAAATGTAGACTCACAACTTTAATCCTACTAGCTTTTTTCACTCATGAGGTAGAATTTTTGCTCACAACACTGTGGATCTTAGCAGGAACATTGACCTGGATGCCTCTGTGATGTACACTGTGGCCCTCAGTTTGCATCTCTTATCATGTTTCCCTCCAGATGAAGACTGTGAAGACAAAGCATCAGCCAACTGTGTGCTGGTCCTGAAGGTGAAGCTCTGTTCCCACTGGTACTACAGGAAGGCCTGCTGTAGATCTTGTAGAAGTAAAGCACTCTGATATCCTCCACCTGACAGAAAAAAGGAGCAAATAACTCTAAGAAACATATTTGGACTGAAACCCAGCTAAAGTGCCGGGCTTTCCTGCCCCCCCACCCCAAACATTACCTAGCAACTCAAATCGTTTAGGTGGCACTCGGAAGGACCCTGTTCACGAGGCCTTCTCAAAGCAGGTCATACCACACAGCCAGCCTCAGGACCCAGCTTCACACAACCAGACATGGGCATTTTGCCACACTGAGAGAAACAGCACAATTCCTACCCCCCCCACCCCCAGCCCCCATCAGGGACTGCTACCTTTTTCTTGAGTTATCAGAGCGACTTTCAACCACCACCTTCCTGTAGTGATTCTGTCTCCTGTGGATGTCCTATTTCCTCTGCTCAGCAAGGTGAACTCTGACCTCTGGAGAAGAATACTGGTAATTAGCTTTTACATGGCGCTTCAGAGCATTCAGAGTCCTTCACATATATTACCCTGTAAGGTAGGTCATCTTGATATGGCAGATAAAGGATCCAAAGTTGGGAGAAAGTCGCTTGTCTGAGGTAACTTGACATGTTGATAGATCCAGAAGAAACTAGGCCCTGAGGCTTTGGCAGGGGGCACTGCTGCACTGATTCTGCAAAGCCAGTCCTTGTAAGTCACATAGTATCCGCACACAACCCCTGTCATTTCTGTGGTATTCAGAAGAATTATGGAGGCTAGGACGAATGGCACGGCCCATACAATAGAGGACATCCAACACCTTACTTAAGAACATGGTGCCTTTTCCCCCCCAGCTGCGTCCAGCTTCACCTTGGATAAAGGATCCAAAGTTGGGAGAAAGTCGCTTGTCTGAGGTAACTTGACATGTTGATAGATCCAGAAGAAACTAGGCCCTGAGGCTTTGGCAGGGGGCACTGCTGCACTGATTCTGCAAAGCCAGTCCTTGTAAGTCACATAGTATCCGCACACAACCCCTGTCATTTCTGTGGTATTCAGAAGAATTATGGAGGCTAGGACGAATGGCACGGCCCATACAATAGAGGACATCCAACACCTTACTTAAGAACATGGTGCCTTTTCCCCCCCAGCTGCGTCCAGCTTCACCTTGGAACACAGGAAGGTGTTTGGAAGAAATTTGTAGCAGAGGATGGGGTAGCTGTGTGAAACAATACTTTCAATAGATATAGCACGTTGCCTGTGTTCAACAGCTTTTCATCCAGAAGATTACTGTTTTTCCAAAAAAAAAGAAAAAAAGTTATCACTTTCAAATAAAGAGAGTGAGATAAACACCTGCTTTGCGACCAAAGTGGAGAGATTCATGGGTCCGTGGAAGAGTCCGGGCAAGTAACCAAGCCACAGACAGCAAGCTCTGGCAGCATCAAGTATGGGATTGGGGTGGGCATGGGATTCCTATGAGGGCAGACCCACCCAGTGGTCTTACAACAGTTTGGTCTGGGGTGCTTGAAACACTTTTAGCCCCACTGAGGGGCACAAGGGCAATTGGCTTTTCATGCATACAACCTCACACAGTCTGGTTGAGTTTAAAGAGGTTCTCCTGCCCCCACAGTATCACCAGAGGGCCTCTTTCAGACTTTTTAAACTCACCAATTTGCTAATGACCTATTGCTTCTCTGAATTCCTAACTTTTTAAAAAAAATTAAATCTTTTTTTGCTACAGAGTTGCTCTTTTTTTTTTTAAGGAAGACTTTTGGTCTAGAGACTTATTTCAAACGCAGGTCTTTTTGAGCTGGAGAATTGTTTAAGAAGGAAAGCTGGGAATTCAGAGAAGCTGGTAGATCATGGCAGTAGATCACCAGAACAGTAGTTTCCAGTGTGTACCCTTAGGTGTACCATGGCAGTAGATCACCAGAACCACTTACAGGGCTCTTTTTGTAGCAGGAACTCCTTTGCATATTAGGCAACACACCCCTAATGTAGCCAATCCCCCAAGAGCTTACAGAGCTCTTCTTACAGGGGCTACTGTAAGCTCTTGGAGGATTGGCTACATTAGGGGTGTGTCGCCTAATATGCAAAGGAGTTCACTGCTACAATTTTAAAAAATACCTCAAAAGTCTTTCAGTGGTGGTGGTGGAATGAAGGGGGCAGGAGGGCTGAGGCAAGGAATGTGAGAGGGAAACCACTGTGTGGAAGCAGCCGTGAATTACAAACCATAAAGATCAGTCATAAACATGATATTTTGAAGAAAAAGCCTACCATTCGGCGTTTGTCGCAGGGCTCTTTTTGTAGCAAGAACTCCTTTGCATATTAGGCCACACACCCCTAATGTAGCCAATCCTCCAAGAGCTTACAGAGCTCTTCTTACAGGAGCTACTGTAAGTTCTTGGAGGATTGGCTACATTAGCGGTGTGTCACTTAATATGCAATTGAGTACCTGCTACAAAAAGAGCCCGGCCTTAGCAATGTTAATAGCCGCCAACCCATTTGGCTTGGCAGTGTTTTGAAAGATGTGCAAGGGGGGGATTTGGGGGGAAGGTGTAATTTGTTTGGCAGGCATTCAGATTGTTTTGGTAGCTTTCCCCCCCCCCCCCCGCTCCTGCCTGATCATCATAGTCGAACAAAGCAAGTTAAATTGTTAAACATGTTCAGGGCAAAATTCATGGCATCCCTACTCCAGCGTGCTCACAAGAGGAGGGTCCCATCAGGCTAGAAGATTTTTGGTCTAGGCTCTAGAGTTCACGATAGGCACGACGAAAGGCATCAAACAGCCATCTTAGTTATTTCAAAGTCCAGATTTATTTTTCTTGATAACTTCCAGTCTGGTTCCATAGTTGAGCGACAAACAAAAAGTGTTAAAAAATCAAATGACAGATCGGAAGTACAAAGATGAGAACAACAACGGCAACAGATCAGGCATTTCTCTTCTGTTCACAGTGGTTCGACTGATGGCTTCCTATCTGATGATGTTTTATCCCTTGTCCTCCGTTTTCCCCCCCCCCATGCTACAGATCCAGTTGTAAATAGTTTCCATCTAGGGATGAGGAGGGGGAGAACAATCAGCACCTTGAGTTGAGACGTCTCAGCTTAGGCTTGGAACAAAAAAGAGGGGCATGGCCATATTTTATTTGTGCAGGGAGCTAGTTTCCAGGGTGTGTACCCACCCTTAGGTGTTCCAAGAAGAGAGCTATGGTGACTGGCCCCTAGCATCTTAATGCCTTAGTGTGGTTTCAACAAGGGTAGCACAAGGCAGAGCAATGCATGCTGGGATATTCTGGTCCCTCCCTCAGGAGAGGTCAACTTCTGTTTGGGAAGATGGGAGCTACGAAAGAGACATTGTGGGATGTTTCTTACCACTTCGGAAGTCTGCCCTTGAGGGAAATTTTTTAGTTTCATGATAGACAGTGATGATAGCAGGTCCCGTATTGTGATATCATAAAGCTGACTGATCTGATTCTGGACCCATGCTAAATGACCAGTTTGTTTTTGAAATTGCCTTTGGAAATGGAAATCAAGCTGCCCCAGGAGTACTTTGGTGCTGGATGGAAACTAATCTGGAATATCCAGCAATAGTTCCAGGTATAATTAAACCACTTTTTTTTTTTAAAAAAAAAGTGCTTCTTCCGAGCTTCAAACTGTATATTCTTGTCAACCAGTAAAAAGAGCCAAACCACACATTACAAAATTTGTGAAATCAGGTCCAGTTTTCCTCCACCTAACCTGCTTTCCTCACTGTCACACAGCAGCTGTGGAGAAAGGAATTTGTAAAATCCTGACAGGGGTCCAGTTCAGCTCAGGACAGTAGCATTATGGGGGGGGGCTCCTGCCTGAGCTAAAAGCCCCTGGAGAGTAGTGGGGCAAATTCCTCCTCCAAGGCCATTTTGACTCAGGAAAATGGTGCAGGGGGAAGCTATACGAGCTGAATTGGGCCCCTGTAGATTTTAAAAATTCCTTTTCCCCATAGTTGCTGAGTTGCCACAAACCATAACACGATTTGACCTGTTTACCACTCAAATTCAGAGGCCTCTCAGTCTAACTCTATTTCTACTTTGTGGTGTGAGCTGGTGGCCTCAGAAGATATTGGCCTCCACCAAGGACCAGATGTACAGTAGGATGAGCATTCCCATGTGGCTGTGCACCTGGATCTGCATTCTAAATTGGGGCAACTGCCTTGCCCCTTCCAAACGGAGTTTAAATTAAGGCATGTGGGTAAAACAGAAACAAAAAAAATGATCACTACAGCAATCATCATTGGAACAAAACCAGACGTAAACAAGGAAGAGAAATAAGAGTGCATCGCTCTTCAGATATTCCCCGGCACATTTGTCAGAAACCACTGAACTGAACTTTCTACCCAATACTAATCAATTCAGCCCCATCGGACACAATGTAGAATGAAGTTAGTTGGGAACAAATCCCTGTGAGATCGAGACAGAAATGTGAAACAGCTGTTCTTATGCACTATGCCAAATAAGACGGGAATTCATGTTACAGTAGCAGCAATACGACCTTCGCAGGGCCTTTTCCTGTGCCAGTAAGATTACGTGATAGTTTGGACCCTACAAATTTCTTTTCCAAGCCAGCATCCAACCCTGGGTAATGCTGGTGTGACGGATGTACTACAAAATGGGCACCTCTCATGTAGTCCAGAGCTTCACATGGTACCATACTGACAAAAGCAGAAGCACCCCCAAAAAAACAGTTTCCATGCCACTGCCTGTTCACAAGTTACAGTGAATGCACATACAGCCTGCATGTGCATGCCCACGTGTTTGTAAGAAAAAGCCAAAGTACAATTACTTCGCAAATGAAACCAGGAACCAGTACCTAGATAAACGTGGGGCTAAACCACACATTCAGCTGTACACACTTTGAATGTAACATGAGAATTGCTCAATGCAAATATAAAGAAAAACCAAGTGCACACTGTACATGGAACGTACGTGTGCTCACTGAAACTTGTGAACAGGTCTCAGACAATGTGCAAAACAATTCTCAACCCCTTTTCATTGCTTGCATGAGGACACAGCCTGGATCTGCACATGCTATAAAATGAAGGCAGGAAAAATATAGCTCTGCTGCTTCATATGGGAGGTGGTGGGATACGTTTTGTTTCCCCTATTAAAACAAATAAGGAACGAAGAAGGATGCCTGCTCTGAGTTCCTTGGAGGCAGGAAACAATGAAAATGTACTAGAAAGAAGTTCCCTGAATGTAGAAAATGTAATGTTAGATTGCCAACCTCCAGGTGGGGCCTGGAGATCTGGAATTACTACTGATCTCCAGACAATGTCTCCTTTGAAGGGTGGACTCTAAGGCATTAGACCATGCAGAGGTCCCTCCCCTCCCCCAAACGCTGCCCTCCCCAGGCTCCCCCACCCCAAATCTCCAAGTATTCTCCAATCAGGAGTTTGGGACCCCATTTAAAATTCAAAAGGTTGGTTACTATTCTAGTAATGCGACAGATTTTTTTTCCTTAATGGGAAATCATTCAAAATGGTGTCTTCACCTAACATCTGAATCAGCATGGTTTTCTTCACCCCTTCACATGAACACGTTAGTTATACCTCCAGGTGAGAAGAAGGAAAACGCTTAAAATTGGTGCAATGTGGGGATTTATGTTCAGCAGAATTATAGAATCATAGAGATGGAAGGGAGCTCCAGGGTCATCTAGTCCAACCCCCTGCCCAATGCAGGAAATTTACAAATGTCTCCCCCCACCCCCATGACCCCTGTTCCATGCCCAGAAGATGACAAAAAACCCTCCAGGATCCCCAGCCAAATTGGCCTGGAGAAAAATTGCTTCCTGACTCCAAAGTGGCAATCAGCATTTTCCTGGGTATGTAAGAAAGGGCTACAAGAACTAAGCACAGATGCAACCCTTCCTGCTCTACCTCTTGTGATTTGCCTAAGTTCACACAATCAGCATTTCTTCCTGCCCTCCCTCTCATGATCTACCTAAGTTTACAGAATCAGCATTGTTGTCAAATGGCCATCTAATCTCTGTTTAAAAACCTCCTTAGCATGTTCACAGCCTGGGGAACTCCTACAAGATAATGACTCAGCCCTACCCCAACTTCCTCAGTAGATATAAATTACCTACCATTTTTCTTCTCACCTTGACACAGAAAGTACTCCATCTTTCTGTGTTATACCTCTGAGGATGCCAGTCACAGCTACTGGCGAAACGTCAGGTCCTACAATATCAAG